AAAATATTATCACACCGAATTCAGCAATACATTAAAAGGATCATACACCGTGATCCAATGAAATTTATTCCAGGGATGTGAGGATGGTTTAACATTAGTGAATCAATCAATATAAAAATATTAATAAAATGCAAGATAAAAATCATATCATCTTAATAGCTGCAGAAAGAGCATTTAACAAAACTCAACACCCATATGATAAGAACCTTCAACAAAGTGGGTATAGAGGGAATATACCTCAACATAATAAAGGCCGTATGTGGTAAACTCAAGGCTAACATAATACTCAATGTTGGAAAGTTGAAAAATTTTCCTCTAAGAACAGGAAAAAGACAAGGATGTCACTTTAATTCAACATAGTATTGGAGGTCCTAGCCATAGAATTTAGGCAAGAAACAAAAATGAAAGGCATAAAAATTGAAAAGGAAGAAGTAAAACTGGCACTATTGGCAGATGATTTAATGCTCTATATAAAAAAGTTGGAAAGACTCTTAGAATTAACTACTAGAATTATTAGAATTAACAAATGGATTCAGTAAAGTTGCAGGATAAAAAACACACAGAAATCTCTTGTGTTTCTATACACGTATAACAAACTATAGAGAAGAAATCAATCCCATTTACAACTGCATCAAAAAGAATAAAATACCTAGGAATAAATTTAAACAAAGAGGCGAAAGACCTGTACTCTGAAAACTATAAGACAGTGATGAAAGAAACTGAAAAGAACATAAATAAATGGAAAAATATATCATGCTTATGGATTGGAAGGAGATTATTGTTAAAATGTCCACACTACCCAAAGCAATCTACAGATTCAAGGGAATCTCTATTAAAATACCAATGGCATTTTTCACGGAACAAGAATAATCTTAAAATTTTTATGTAACCACAAAACACTCTACGTAGCAAAAACAATGTTGAGAAAGAAGAATGAATCTGTAGATACCATGCTCCTTAATTCAAAGTATACTACAAAGCTATAGTAATCAAAACAGTATACTACTGGCAAAAAAAGAGACACAAAAATCAATGGAAAAGAATAGACATACCAGAAATTAACCCATGCTTATATGGTCAATTAGTCTATGACAAAGGAGACAAGAATACAGCGGGGAAAGGAGAGTCTCTTCAACAAATGGTGGTGGGAAAATGGGACAACTACAAGCAAATCAATGAAACTGGACCAGTGTCTAACATCATATATAAAAATAAACCCAAAATGGATAAAAGACTTAAGTGTAAGACATGAAACCATAAAACTAGAAGAAAACATAGGCAGCAAGCTCTCTGACATCTGTCTTAGCAATTTTTTTTTTTTTTTTGGATCAGTCTCTTCAGACAAGGACAGCAAAAACAAAAATTTTTAAATGGCACTACATCAAACTAAAACCAACAGAGCAAGAATGCAATCTGCTGAATGGGAGAAGATATTTGAAAATAGTATCTCCAATAAGGAATATCCAAAACATTAAAAAAAAACCCTCAAAACTCACTATAAAAAAAACAAAACTCTTTGATTAAGAAATGTGAAGAGGACCTGAATAGATATTTTTCCAAACACATACAGATGGTCAACAGACATATGAAAAGATACTCAACATCACTATCATCAGAGAAATCCAAGTCAAAACGACAATGAGATGTCACCTCACACCTGTCAAAATGGCTACTATCAAAAAGACCAGAAATACCAAATGTTGACAAGGATGTGTTGAAAAGAGAATCCTCTTGCAATGTTGGTGGGAATGTAAAGTGGTGTGGTCACTATGAAAAGTAGTAGAGAGGTTCCTTAAAATATTGAAAATAGAGGGGCGCCTGGGTGGCTCAGTTGGTTAAGTGTCCGACATCGGCACAGGTCATGATCTCACAGTTCGTGAATTCGAGCCCTGCATCAGGCCCTGTGCTGACAGCTCAGAGCCTGGAGCCTGTGTCTCCCCCTCTCTCTGCCCTTTCCCTGCTAACACTATTTCTCTTCCTCAAAATAAATAAACATTAAAAAAAAATTGAAAATATAACTACTATATGATCTATCATCAATTCCACTTCTGGGTATTATCTGGAAAAAAATGAAAACACTAACCTGAAAATTATGCACCCCCATGTTTACTACAGTATTATTTACAACAGCCAAGATATGGAAGCAACCTAAGTGTTCAGAGATAGATCAAATGGATAAAGATGTGGTATGTACATACACAATGGAACATCACTCAGCCATTAAAAAAACAAAATCTTTCCATTTGCGACAAGATGGATAGACCTAGAGGTATTATGCTAAGTGAAGTAAGTCAGAGAAAGGCAAATATCATATGGTTTCACTTATCTGTGGAATATGAAAAGCAAAACAAATGAACAAAACAGAAACAGACTCATAATATAGAGAACAAACTGATGGTTGTCAGGGGGGAGGCGGGTGCAGGCTTTCCACCTGGTAAAATAACTGGTGAAATAATTGAAAGAGATTAAGAGGTGCAATCTTCCAGTTATAAAATAAATAAGCCATGGGGATGTATTGTGCAGCAGAGGGAATATAGTCAACAATATTGTAATAACAATATTGTATGGTAATAGGTGGTAACTAGACTCAGCCTGATGATTTTGTAATGTATATAAATATGAAATCAATATATTGTATACCTGAAACTAATATGCCAATCATACTTCAAAAAAGAAACTTATAGATTTGAAATAAAATAATACTTGAGATAAATAAACATACATTTCAAATCTCTAATGCTTTATTCAATTAAGGTGAAATTATTAGAGAAAATGTAGTTTGAATATTATTTTTTCTCCTATCTCTGTCAAAATTTCTTATTCTCACATGAAATGATTTCTTCTTAATAAGCACCAGGCAAATATAAAAAGGCTGTGATAGATAAATTATGTTGCTACGATCATTAATTACTAACAGCTCAATTATACTGTTAGGTGCCTACAATTCTCATGAAGCTTCAAAAATCCTTATCTTGGATTCTATTATGTATACAATTCATTTATATTACATTAATTATACAGATATTTAAATGAAGCAGAGATCGTGCTTTCAATTTTCACAAGTAGAGACAATGATCAAAATATTTATGTACATATTACATATTTTGTTCTGTTGACAGTCATAAAATAATTCATTTACTCAGTACCATATTAGCACCTTTTCCATGGAATAAAAAAGGCAAACCTAATTTTTCATGTTTGGATTTCTTTAAATTATTTACATTAATTTTAGAGAGTTCTTTTTTTCTTTTTTTAAATATCTAGTCCAATTTGGTCAACATTTTTCAGGAAATAAAATGTTCAAACTATTTTTAACATTAATGAATGATACCTGTAAAATGGTTTTAAAATTATGCTGAGTGCCTCATTTGTAAGTCTAAACTCTAGAGCCTGACTCCTTGATTTCAATCCGAAGATACCTGGACAAGTGACATTAACAGTATATTTCAGTTTACCCCTCTGTACAATGGGAACAACATTTTCTAGTACAGATTTAAAGAGTGATATGTCATATGTTTAAAACAATGCCTAAGACATAGTGCTACTTAAGTATTTTCTGTTATTAATATATTCCTTCTTGGAAGCAGTTCAACTTAATATGAAAGTTAATGATAACCAACTTCACCTGTATAAAATGAGTAATGACAGTTTTTATCTTTAAAACTCCATGAAAATAGTAGAAAGTACCTTGTAGGCTAAACTTTAAAATTCTAATTACTGACCTAAGGAGAACTGCCCCTTGTCACATGACTGAACAGTGTAGCAGTGAAAAATCTTTTTATCCTTCAAGTTGTTATTAAAACCTATATGACCAATGACCTAACTCTGACCATATGGGAATGTATAGAGAAATTAAGACAACCATAAATAATAAGTTTTTAGATCCACCGAAGGTTGGGGCTAGATATAAGGAGAATCCCAGGCAGACAATGATGAAGATATGTAAATTAAACCCATGTCTAATCTCTCAGATAATTCCATCTTTCTCTCCACTCTTCCTTCTTGCTTTATAATAAACCACCTCCCAGGACTGGTCAGGGCATATTGAACCCAACACTCCAAGAAAACCCATATGAAAGAAAACAAGGATCCCAGTAGGAGGTTTCTATGGAAAATGAAATATCCTTGCTTTCTTTTCATTGAAGAAAACCAGAATGATCCCATTCCAAACTCAATATATTTTCTTCATGTATGACAAACTCTTATCCAGGAGTTCTGACTATAATAAAACAGTGGGCTTCTGGAAGACATTCAGTGAACAGGTACTTGCTTGTTAGAAATTCTATTCCCTTATAGCAGAGAGTCTTTTAGGATATATATCTTCTAGGGTGTTTTAGGATTAAAACATTGGATTTAAAATCCATTTATGACAGCATGCCATAGTGGATGGCCTAGGGATTGGTAGAAATAGGAGTGAGGAAAAGAGAAAGAAAATATATGCAGAGGATTCATTGTTGGATTGCTAGGTTAAATGTGCCCTGGCCAGTCCTGGGGAAGTGGCATATATGAAAGAGAAAGGAGAAGGAGGAATTAACTGGACTTGGGTTATTGTGCTAGTTACTTTAAAGGTTATATTCATATACATTTTCATATTCTACCATTTTGTTCTGTATCTGTCAATCACCCAAAATTAGAGTCTTTAATCTCTCTTCTTTAGCCAAATCCCCATTGAATTTTCCTAACAATTTGCTGCTTTTCTTGGATCATTTTAACTTGATTACTTCAAATCTTCTATTATTTCTAGGAATAGACTGACCTGCCTTTAATATACAGTATATTCAATTTAGCTAAATATTCTTGCTGCTGAAGTCTTCCTGGAGAATCTCTCTGCAGCTTAAAGCCACTGATATGCTGATCAGTGGGGAAAAATACTATGGAAAATATTTACTTATTAATTGCGAATTCTAGGTTTTATTTATATGCACGTATATCCTAGTAAAGCATATACATTTTTTAAATTAACATATTCAGAAAACTCACTTAGTATTTTAAAACTTTACCTTGGAGTAGAACTGGTTTGACTCCACTTTTGTCTCCCATTCTCTGCCCAATCTGCAAGAGCAGTGACAGTGAGCTTTGGTGCTGGAGAGGCAGTCAGTAGAAGACAGATGCCTCAGTAAACCAGTGATAGAGTATTCAAGCCTTGAATAACTGAGTGTTGACTATAGTTTGGAAGTTACAAAAATACTAAAATGTGATTTTTCTTTTAGGTGGGAAATGAGAAAGAATGAAAGACTAGAAGAGGAAGAAAAAGCAATGCTGGAACATTTAAAACAATTTTGCACCATCCAGAACTCTTCTGTCTCAGATAACACAGAGGAACCATAATCTGCAGAAAACAGCAACAGCTTTATTTTAGGAAATAATCACATGTAATGGAGTAGGATTTTTACTACAGTCAGAATGAACCTCAGATATGCTGTGAAGCATGAAACCAATAACTGAGTAATCTCTGAAATGAAAAGGAATACACCACATAAAGAATAAAGTGCTACACATTTTTTACTTTAAAAATAATTTCAAATGTTTTTCTTTCCTCAGTTGTTCTCTTTATATAACTGCTGCCATCTCGTGTTCCCTTTGAATTATATTTTTTTTCTTCTTTCAGTCTTGAAGTATCTATGACAACAGACAAAATGTTTGGAAATCTTTTCCCTAAGGATTTTTAAATACAGCATTTGGATGTTAAGTTGAATGGAGTAACATAGCCCCTTGAGGGTTGTCTGAAAATTTCAATTTAGTTTTATAGCTGTAGCCCAAGTCCAGGTCTTAGCGACTTTTAAAACCCACCAATGTACCAGCCTCCTTTTCCAAAGCCACTTCCTCAGGCAGTTTATCTTAACCAGCAAAACATTCTCCTAATATATAACTTTAGTCCTATCTCTGCCTATAATGGTTTTTCAAACATCATATTTAAACTTTCAATCATATGCTTTCAGATCCTATACCCAATGTCTCCATGTTCAGGCAACTGCCTGTTATCCTCTTGGTTCAAGCCACACACTTACCATTTTCCCCAAGTGGAAACCATCTTTCTCCCCAAATAACATTTAAAACTCATTCAAGCAATCCCATAGTTTCTGTTACTTCTCTTATTTCTATTACACTCACACACTCTCTCACACACACACACACACACACACACACACACACACACACACACACACTGGAATGTGTTCTAGAGCCCTCACATCAAGTTATAATTACTATACCCTTCCTATTAGTGCATGGTATTCGATTATAAAGACCTCAAAGGGTTTGTCATATGAAGTCTCCCTCTTTAAGGGGTTCCATAGTTTTCCCAGATACCTGCTCCAGAGTTATCTATCTAGTGGGTAATTAATACATTAATTAGTAAATAATTCCAACAGTTGTTTGAATGTCATTAAAAGAAGACAATTAGATTGTTGAGCAATCTACAGGACATCTGGGAGAAGCCTTATCTATTTTAGACCATATGACATCGAACATTATGTTTCTGATGTTCTCAGATTGTCCATGTTCCCACATTCTGTGATTTTTATAAAATATGTGTAGGCTAGATAATTTCCAAAGGAAAGTACTTATGCATTTTTTAAAAAGTAAAATCTTAGAATGCAGAGGAGGCCACCTTAGAAAATCTCTTGCATTATTTCCTACATAAAAACATATAAATGGCCATGTAGCCAGCTGTCTACCAAGTAACACATTTTATTTCTATAAAATGTACTTTGTTGGTTAGTATAATCATGAACTAAATGTTTTAAGACAATGTTGGAATAATTTCTAAAACTTCTATACAGACAATTTAAAAATGGTAAGAAATATTCATGAGAATTGAACTTTGCACCTAATCTTACCTATGAACACTAATCTTACCTATAGTAACACTGTAACAATCAACTGAAGACAACAATTTTCTTTCTTTAGCTTCATGATGGTTTGTGTAAATCTGCACACTATATTTTATTAGAATAGACACTAAAAAAGAAAGTCAAAATAAAAATAAACTGAACCAATAAACTAAATAATCTTATAAAGTAAAATATTTCATATTTGGGTTCTTTGTCTTCTAATATATTTAAAAATCATCTTTTAACACTTTTTTCTTTTTTTTTCTTTTTTTTTTTTACTGAATCTGTACATTTCTATGGTAATGCTAAGAAGTGACTTATTTCCTCTAGAAAAAATTTCTTAATGGCTCCATTTAAAGGGTAATAAGAATAGTAAGGGGAGAAGGAGATGAGGAGGAAGGAGAAAAATGTGAAAAACAGAAGAGTTTACAGATGAATTCTCTTCTATATTTGCTCAGTGAGATTACTGTAGCCAGTGGAAGGAAATTTATAATTGGGAATATTAAATGACAAGACATTGGTTTATCAGATTATTTTGACTTTATACTCAACATGTTTCTTAAAATATGAAAAGAATGGTATTTAAAAAGTTATTCTTTCTCATGTTTATTTTGCATTTGTGTAACTTAACAGCAGCAATTAAGCCTAATACTTTATTAGTCCCAATACGCTTATTGCAAAAATATTATCTTCCTTCTGTGTTCTGTTTAACTGTATTTTTATGTAATTATAAAGATGTATCTAGTTTACCGGTTACTATGTGAAAAGTATGAATTTTTAATAAAATATAGATAATAATCTATATTTCAAGTATTTTACATTTTTGTCATCGCTACCAAATACTCTATAGAACTATCTACCAAGAAATGTGAAAAGTAAATCGCTTATTTTGTCTACCAGTAGGTGCTTACCCAAAGTGTTCTATTACCCCAGTTCACATATTCCTGAGTCAGAGAGAGCTTCTGGTAATTTTTAATTAGCATTTCTTATTATAAAAACTCTAAGATTTTTGAATGCTTTTCATTATGCTTGAAATATTTCATAATTAAAAACACAAAAAAAGCTGTATTCAGACTTCTAAAGGAAAGAGATCTGGTCACATACTACAACAGGGATGAATATTGAGGACATTATGCTAAGTGAAATAAGACAGAAAAAGACATATACTGTATGATTCCACTTATATAGGGTAGCTAAAGTAGTCAAATTTATAGAGACAGAAGGTAGAATGGTAGTTACTTGGGGCTAGGGAAAAGAAGAGACGTTTAATGAGTACAGAGTTTCAGTTTTACAAGATGGAAAAGTTCTGGAGCTCTGTTTCACAACATTGTGAATATACTTAACACTATTCAACTATATACTTAAAAAAGGTTAAGATGGTAGGTTTTATGTTACATGTTTTTTAACACACACACTTCCCCAGAACTGCTATATGTAGAAATTCCATTGCAAAATGCCTAACAAGATGCCTGAAAGCTCTTAATTTTTATTGGGAACCATGAGACCAATACATCCAGCATCAGTTATTATTCCACACAATGACAAAACTATTTGGTTTGCCTTTGAGAAATGTTTTCAATAGCACCACCAGTAAAGCAATAAACACTTGTTTGTCAAGAATTTACAGAATTCAAAACCTTATAAAAACACTTTTCCTTTCAAAATATTATAATTACTTGAACACATAAAGACCTGTATTATGGGGCACTTGGGTGGCTCAGTTGGTTACGTGTCTGACTTCAGCTCAGGTCATGATCTCGCAGTTTGTGAGTTCAAGCCCCACGTCAGGCTCTGTGCTGACAGCTTGCTCAGAGCCTGGAGGCTGCTCCGGATTCTGTCTCCCTTTCTCTCTGCCCCTCCCCCACTCACACTCTCTCTCAAAAATAAACATTAAAAATTTTTTTAAGTTAAAAAAAATAGAAAAAAAGACCTGTATTACTTACCAATTACTGTACAAAATTACTGACATAATTTGGCAGCTTAAAATAATATACATTATCTCACAATCTCTTGTGTCAACTCTTTTGTGCCTGAGCATGGTTTAGGATATAACACAGTTGCAATGAAAGTATAAGCCAGGGTTGTGGTCTCATCTGAGGCTCAATTGGGGAAGGATCCACTTCAAAGCTCACATGGTTGTTGACAACATTCATTAGCCTGCAGACTATCAGACTAAGGACCTCAGTTACTTGCCATGTGTGTCTTCCCATAATGGCCTCCTTCTTCCTCAGAGTCAGCAAGGGGAAAAGAATCTCCTTGAAAGATGAATGCTATTGGGGCACCTAGGTGGCTAAGTTGGTTAAGCATCTGACTTCACCTCAGGTCATGATCTTGTGGTTTGTGGGCTCAAGCCCCATGTTGGGCTCTGTGCTGACAGCTCAGCCTGGAGCCTGCTTCAGATTCTGTGTCTCCCCCTTGCTCTGCCCCTCCCTTGCTCATTCTCATTCTCTCTTTCTCTCTCTCTCAAAAATAAACATTAAAAAAAATATCAATGTTACAACTCTATGTAATGTAATCAAACACATGCAACTATGCACATTCTATCACCTTTAACAAATTCTAATGGTCAAAAGCAAAACACTCTTCCTGCCCATGCTTGGGGGAAGGGAACACACAACAGCATGAATACCAGAAAGTGAGTTTGATGGATGGGAGTCACTCTGCAGTCTATCCACCACAAATTGGAATTTAGGCACTGAATATCCTTTATGAGGGTAACCATGTTGAGAAGTGGAAGTAGAGATGGGCTACAGATAAAGAGCCAGGACTTAATACTTACTGCCACTTATCAAGCAGCTACAGTAAACCAGGCTTTTTGCAAGACAATATATATAAAATAGCCAATTAAATTCTTTCTAAGCCCCTGTTTAGAATTTTATTGAGACTCCCACTTGAGATAAGAAAATGAGTTATAGAAATATGAAAAAACTGACTCAGATTTTAAATGAAAATGCACAGTGAGGTTCTAGTCAAGATGGCCATGTAAAAAGATCCTGAACTCACCTCCTCCCATGACACACTGAATCTACAGCTACATATGGAACAATTTCCTTTGGAATAAAACCCTAAAACTAACTAAGAAACAACTACACATCAGGCAAATGAGAAAAACACCACATCAAAGTGGGTAGGAAAGACTGAAACACATACTCACCATAAAACCTACCCCCGGCTTGATAACACACAGTCAAGAAGGAACTCAAAAACCACAGCTTCTTCCTAAGGAGTGAAGGGTTTGAACCTCAAATAGGGCACTTCAACTTTTAAGACCTGCAGCTAAGAGATGAGCCAAAACATCTGGCTTTGAAAAACAACGGGCTTGCATATACAAGACCCACAAGTCTACAGTGATTTGAGAAAAGAGTCTTAACAGACTCACACACTCAACACTTAACCTGCTCCACACGGTTCAGAAGCAGCTGATCCTGATCAGACTTTATGGTAAAGAATCTCATTTGTTAATAAAAATACAGCGCAATGCATTGTACTTGTGAGTTGTTCAAAAGCATAGGCATTCCCCCATCCCCAAAGTGGGCACCATCATTACACCGCACCATGTTTCTCTCCAATCTGTGGGCACCTTTTTGTTTTCTTTCCATGGGTCCCTCACCTTTACAAATCCTCAGCCTTGCTCTAGCCAATGTATGCCATCTACACACTCTCCCTTTGCATACTATCTCCCAGAGGGGAACTTTTACACCTGTTTGGTGCCCCAATTTTTATGACTGCCACCAAAGGGATGCTCTTTCATTGCCTGACTTTGGAGGTGGGTGGGGTGAGTTGTGTTCCTGGATCACAGAAAAGAAAAAGAGAGGACTCTTGCTTTGGATTATGTCTTCCTCTCTCTCTCTGCCCCTACCCCCCTCACACTCTGTCTGTCTCTCTCAAAAATGAATCAACATTAAAAAAAAAAAAAAAAGAAAAGAAAAAGAGAGGAGTCAATAAACACATCAGAAATGAAAAAGGAGACATTAAAACAGACATCACGCAAATACAAAGGATCTCGTAAGAGACTACTATGAAAAATACCTCATGAAAAGATTTGGCAATCTAAAAGAAATGGATAAATGTCTTAAAAAAACAAAACAAGAACAAAAAATTACTAAGGATGATTCACAAAGAAATAGAAAATGGGAACAGACCAATTACTAGTAAGGTGATTGACTCAATAATCAAAAACCTTCCAATAAACAAAGTCCAGGACCAGACTGACTACCTGGTGAATTCTATAATCCTTCAAAGAATAATTATTAACAATCCTTCTCAAGCTCTTCCAAAAAAATAGAAGAGGAAACACTTCCAAATTCATTTTATAAGGCCAGTATTACCCTGATACCATAATCAGAGAAGGATGCCACAAAAAATTACAATCTAAATTCTCTGATGAGCATAGTAGCAAAAAATGTCAATAAAATATTAGCAAACTGAATTCAACAATACATTAGCAGGATCATACACCATGATCCAGTGGGGTTTATTCCAGGGATGCAAGGAAGGTTTAACATCTGCAAATAAATCAATGTGATATACCACATTAACAAAATAAAGCATAAAAATCATGATTTAAATAGTTACAGAAAAAAGCATTTGACAAAATTCAACATCAATTTGTGATAAAATCTGAGGGAATTTACCTCAACATAACAAAGGCCATATATGACAAGCCCACCACAAACATCATACTCAATGGTGAAAAGCTCAAAGCTCTTCTTCCGAAATCAGGAATATGACAATGATGCAATTCCTGCCACTTTTATTTAGCATAGAATTGGAAGTCCTAACTACAGAAATTAGGCAAGGGAAAAAAAAAAGCCATTCAAATCAGAAAGGAAGTAAAACTATCACTATCTGCAGATGACATAATGTTATATACAAAAAAATCCTAAAGACTACCAAAAAACTTTTTGAATTAATCAACAAATTCAGTAAAGTTGCAGGATACAAAATCAATATGCAAAAATCTGTTTAATTTTTATACAATAATTACTATCAGAAAGAGAAATTAAGAAAATAAACCCATTTTTGATCCCATCAAAAATAGTAAAATACCTAAAAATAAATTTAGCCAGAGAACTACAAGATCTGTGCACTCAGAACTCTAAGCCATTAATAAAATAAAAGACACAAATAAATGAA